GTCCCCCCCCCCCCCCATTTTTTTTCCAATGATCGAACTATCCATACCAACAAAAAGAGAGTTACAAGGCTAAGGGCTTAGTCTTGACCAAAGAACCCAGTGACTCTAAAGTTAAGTGTTTTAGATGATAAATCTCAATTGAAGAACTTGAATGTAGAAGATTGAATATAAAATATCTTAGAGCATGTAAAACATACTTAAAGGTTTCTTTGGAGGGAGTCTTCTATATGAGGTGGAAAAGTAGTTGCTTTTCATGTGTAATGCTACATGGTCAGTTGTAGGGTGACAGTTGTAGATTTATGATTGGTTGACTCTGTTGATGGCTGCATTTTTCACAATGATGACAGAGTGCTCAAAGCTAACCATTCTGATACACTAATTGCGTTGATATGTAGATATACATGTGATTTGATTTGGACTATAGCGTCACGTAGGCGCTTATTGGAGAGGGATCGAGCATCAAGTATCAGATCTTGGACTTTCTTAGTGTTTAAGTATGGAACATAGGATTATATCAAACAAAAATCTCCTCAAAACAATAAACTTCATACTTTTGCCACTTCTAAGTGCTCAAAAAGAAAGCATGTACCCCGATAAGCTAATAGTTTCAGTTATGTCATCTATTTAACAACTCTACACACAATCTTGAATCATGCCTCTTCTTAAACGAATATTTGTTATCTAAACGTTGAAGTCACTTCTATACATCCATAATCCTAGCCTATTCTACAGCCTCGGATTCATCATACTATATGGTCTAGGAAACCTGAGCGTTCGCTAATTAGAGGTCCATGTTGCTACCGTCTCTTAAAAAAGAAACCATTTAATTAGAGTCAAGGCACTCACTCCCTTTCTTCAGAGATTAGCAAGAATTAAACCAATGTGTTTAGCAATGACTCCCTTTCTTGAGAGATAGCAGGAGCTAAAATCAAGGCACTCACTCCCTTTCTTGAGAGAGTTCAGGAATTTAAAGCAGTGACCTTTAGCTGGTAGATTCTAATTTCGACCAAACTGTGAACCCACCAAAAGGTCAGGCTTAGGTTCAAGAGGGAAACCAACCTATATAACACCATGAAATTAACTAAACATTTATTTCTTGCATAGAATTTCTCCTGTATGGACAAAGAAAAAAAGAAGATGACAAGTCAGGACTTGTCAACACCAGAATTAGAGCTATTAGACAGAGCAAACAAGGAGGATGTTGATCATATTGAGCAAATATATGTACATGTGTGGAACCAGTCTACATCGAACTCCTACGATGAAGGGCACCATACCTAGGCTAAAGTTTGGAGAGCTAAGAGCTTACCAAGCTTTCCATGTATAAACACTATCTTACTACAATCTTTAAAACCTGCATTATGGAAAATAGAGGTGCAACAAGAGATGAGTTACTTAATGACATGCAATTTTCCTATCTACAAACAGAAGCTTGATTCCAAATTGAATGTGCACTAATGGTCTTCAGAAACAAGAAAGCCTTTTTTGATCATAGAATATGACTGCATATTTCTGGATTTGATTCATAAATTTTCAGTACTGAGTTAGAAATGGTGGTCACTTACATTACTAGTTCTTTCCAAGACTCTCAACTGAAGTAGGTAAGGGGCTTTTCATTTCTCCCTCCAAGAAAAAAGAAGCCTCCATGGTGGCTTTGTTAACCCTTCCTCCAAGAGAAAATCCTGGTCAACCTTGATCTCATGACCAGCTGTATTCCTGGATAAAACAATCTATGAACAAAGAACATGTTTTAACAGAGTATTTAAGTGAATGATATCTATTCTGTGTACATGAAGATTGTCGTACCATGCTCTTGTTAAACAATGTGGATCTTTTCTTAAGGATACCATCCTCTTATTAAAATAAATAAGCAGGGAAGAACAAAGAGTTATTTAATGAAATGTGTGGGTACTGAAGTAGCATAAGCTGTCAAATTTCACAATTTCAGTCAGAAAGTGGGATTTGTTACATTAGTAGAGCTACTTGTCAGTATACAAAAAAGAACTTTCATCGAATATCTATTTCACGAATTTAACAAAGAAAACAAAGGAATTCCTTTGAATGTAGTCAAAATTAACTAAAGGAAACACTAAAATTCAAAAAATCATCTTGCCAAGTACATTTGTCCTCCTTTCCTTCAATATTATTTTGTCCTCCAATACAAAGATTTTTGCATCAAGTCCAACGTGAATATATCTAAGGTCTTATTAAGTAAAATAAAAATAAAAATAAAAATAATAGTGTCTATTTTAGTGAAAAAACTAGATTAGAAGTTCAACAAAAACAGATACCTTGTGCTCTCAATATTTTTGATTATTCATGTAATGTTGAAACAATCAAATTGCCATTTATTCCAAACAATCTACAGACTTTTTAAGAGTTTCAATTATATCAAAAAATCACGTAAAAAATAAATATTTTCCTTTTTCCTTCCAAGCTATAAAGAAAAAAAATAAAAATAAAATGACAAAAAAATTTAGAATGTATGCCAAGTCAAGTTCATCACAGATTCAGATCTTTCTTTCTATTACGCTCATCAAGTAAGAATGTTTTTCCGCGAATAGCTCAAATTGATTGCTTTTACATTGAAATACTTATATATTTTTTATTTCATTTTTTTGGAGGAAAAACTTGGGGTAAGGGTGTTCTTTAATTTTGGCAATTTACTAACACTGTACCATTGTTGATTAGAGTTCGTCAAATGCATGCATACATCAATGCACGCATGCGTGCGTGCATACATGTACGTACATACCATAATAAATGAATTTAAGCAAAAGCAAATTCTCCAACTTGGATTGAATACTACATGAAAATCTGACTTTGTTATAAACTTTTTTTTATTGTCAATTGATCATGTAGTTCTCTTTTTTATTTTACATCACCAACTCCATTTATAATATTCTCAATAAATAAACTCCTAAAAAGATTATTTATCAATTTAATTATGAAATAATAACTTATGATTAATTTTCCACATAATAGGTTAGTACGCCACATGATATTTGCATAGCAATTTAATGGTTTGTCTCGTGCATTTGCACGTGCCAACATGCTAGCGTCCATGAAGAAACTCAGAGATTACAAAAATTTTAAGGAACACATTCACACAGTTGGGCGATAGGATCCTATCCTAACAATCTCCAAAGATGAAGATGAGCAGTATATTTGGAAATCTCAAGCTGAAGGGTCGTTCACAGTTATCAGAGACTCTGGAGAGAGCCTTGGAATGGGAACCAAGATCACTCTTTTCCTGAAGGAGGATCAGGTACTATTACTATCTCAATCTTATTGTTCATAGGTTGTTCTTAATTTCATTTGTTGAGTGTTTTTTAGATGTTTCTGTAGTGGCATTGTAATTCATTGTCCTTTGCTTTATACTGCACGGAGAAATGTAATCCTGGTAATTTATGCGTCCTCTCTTAAATCAGCGCCTACGTGGTACTACAGTCCAAATCAATTACCTCGTCTCTATATATCAGCATAATTAGCAAGGTTTTAAATGTCGCCCGACACGTCCGACATGTCGTTCGACATATCGGTTTGAGGGTGAGACCGACACGACATGGACGTTTTCAACTCGTATATCGGTTTTGAGGGCCAAATCGAAAATATCAGGGTCATATCGGGCATATTGGCCTATTTTTTAGCTTTGAAAAATCGGCATATATGATACTTTTTTTTAAGATATGGTTTTTATTATCGGGTTTGGGTTTAGTGATAAATACCCAAACCCGTTTGACCCGTTCTCATGTTTAAGGGTTTCTTACCCAAACCCGTTTGACCCGTTCTCATGTTTAAGGGTTTCTTATGAACCCGATAGAAAGAATTTATGAACTCAAATCCATATATTATTTACTTTTTTATATGTTTAGTCTATAGAATTTATAAAGTATGCTTATATTGAATTTATGAATGCTTAGATTACATTTAGGACATGATATTATACATATGTGCACTACCCGATATGACAATCCGATATTTAGTCAATGTCTCCCGATATATCCCCGATTTTTCGCTATCCGACATGGATTTCAGCCATCCGACATGAACCCGACATCCGACATTTAAAACCTTGATAATTAGCATCTTTGCATGGTCAACATTGAGTGCTCTACAACTACTGTCAGAAGTGTAGTGATTAACATCGTGAACCAATCACATGTCAACAACTGTTTCCAGGTAGCCTTACCACATCAACCATGAAAAACAATCACTTTTCTGCGTCATATATAAGACTCTTTACAAAGAAGCCTCAAGTATATTCCCTATTCTACATGCTCTCTTCAAGTCTTTCAGTTGAGATTTACAATCTTCAAAATATTGACTTAAACATTGGTCTTTCGCCGTGATCAATCCTTAGCCCTTCTAAAGCTTGTGTCTGAATGCAAGGTGTCTGATCATAAGATTAACATTTGCCTATCCATCAAGAAGCTTACTTTCCCAACAAAGCATCTTATTTCCTACACCGTAATCATCATCACCATCAACATTAACTCATTCAAGTTATATTGTTAGATCTTGCCACAAAGGTGTGTAGTAACCCCTTTTATTCTTGCATTAACATGATAACACTATACCATTTGCATAGAGCTGTAATATTTTATGAATCAACGCCCATGCTTTCGATAGCTACTAGATATGCACATTTATTTGAATCCTTTCATGAAAAAGGTCTGATTATTTCTGATAGCTATTACATATGCACATATGAATTCTTTCACTACAAAGGTCGGATTTCCTTTGACAGCTATTACATATGCACATTTATTTGAATCCTTGCACTACAAAGGTCCAAAGTCCCTGAAGTAGCGGCCTTCTATTTAACCTCTTCTTCAATCTTTTAACTTCACCTTCACTTAGTTGGATATCCTATAATATCGAAAAATAAGCTCCATCTTGATGAGAATGCTCCATAATAACAAGCTATCTAGGTTAGGATCTTAATGGTCTTGCTTACATTAAACTTGCATTCTAAAAAATTTGCTCCAGTTTTTGGTTATTCCACTAATTCTAAATGCCAGAAGTATGAAACACTTTAATCCTTTAAGTCTAAATAAAAGGAATAGAAGGGCTAACAAACGATCACTTGAAAAGCATATTAAACTTGTAATAAGCTAATTTCATGAGTATTGAAGTACAGCATATTTGATAGTCTTCTTCAAGAGTCTTCATCTTCAATCTGGTATGCAACTTGCAAACCAGCATATTAAACTTGTAATAAGTCAATTTCATGAGTATTCAAGTATAAGCATTCAATAGTCTTCTTCAAAAGTCTTCTTCTTCAAGCTGGTATGCAACATGCAAACTACCATATATTAATCTCATCAACCAACTTATACTCATTATCACCATATAGTAATATCACTTAAACAACCCTATACTCTATCCCAATCAGATATCCCCTAGGCAAATGCTACCATTTATAATCAAGAAATGATAGTAACTAGAAAAGCTAGAACAAATCCAAACTAGAAATGAGAGATATAGGCATTTGTATCAAATGTAAAACTTCAGTGAATTCACTTTTGGATGAACAGCTAGAAGTCTTGACCATCTGTTATTTGAAATACTATTTTTCTTAACTTCTACTTGTCAACTAACAACTCTATTCAAAATAGTCTGGCCCACATCTTTTTTAGTTGTTAATACAAGAAATAAAGAAATTGTCACGTACCTACATGACAAGATCCAAACAACATAACTTGGATTAGTTAATGACAATGATGATGGTTTTGTAGGGAAGAAAGTCAGTCTCGTAGAGGCAAGTGATTGTTTTTCCAATCATCGAACAACCGCGCTAACATAAAGAGCATTATGAGGTGGGGCTTAATCTAGCCAAAAGCTTTCCAACTCTAAAGTAGTGCTTTGTAGATAATAAATCTCAATCGAAAGACTTGAATAAAGGAGATGAATATTAAGAGCATGTGAAACATACTTAAGGATTCTTTGGAGAGAGTCTTGTATATGAAGTAGGAAAGTGGTTGCTTTCCATGCTTAATGCTACTGGACTAGTTGTAGAGTGAAAACTATCTCTGTGATTGGTTGCCTTTGCTAATCGCTGCATTTTAATTATTGACAGTAATGCAGTCGGCGTTAATTATGTCATGATGCTAATCATGCCAATGTGTAGATATGATTGATGATTTGATTTGGACTATAACAACCATATAGACACTGATTGAAGAGAGACTATACATCAAATATTGGATATTGCACTTTCTTAATAGCCAGGCTTGGATAGTAGGATTATATCAAGTCAACAGCCTCCTCAAACCCATAAACTCAATCCTTGTACCAATTCCACATACATAATACCATCATGCTCTAAGTGCTCGAAAAAGAAACACGCATCTCAAGCGAGCAAATAGTTGCTTTTATGTTATCTTTTTAACAACTCACATAGTCTCTCCAATCACATCGTTTCTATAAAATCCCTAATCCAAGCATATTACCTCTTGGAGGAGATTCATCATTCTCCATATTAGTGTTTGGCAACTTCTCACTAACCCAGTTAAGGCCTTAAGGGAAGGAAACAATCCTAATCAATTAAAGAGCTAAAATTTGAGCTAATAAAAGCAAGTTTAATCTAGCCCAGTTTCTGCCAAACCAAGCCAATGGTTTAAAAAACCAAAGATGCTTTGACTTCCTACAAAAGTATCCTTGCATGACCAACAAACGACAACAAAACTTATTCTCACAGCTGCTATTGCTAATTAGAGGTAAAAGCTGCTGCCCTCTCTTAAAAAATAACCATTTCATTGTAGTAAAGGCACTCAATCCCTTTCTTTCGAGACAGCAGGCATGACAGTAAACCCACAGAGTAAAGCGGTCAGCTTCGGTTGGAATATTCCAATTTCAACCCAACCAAGAATCCACCAAAAAGGCAGGTCTCAGACTCAAGAGGGAAACCAACCAACCTATTTAAAACTATGAAATTAACTAAACTTTTATTCTTACAAAGAATTTTTCCGGTATGAGCAAAGAAAATGACAAGCCAGAACTTTTATACACGAAGATGAGAGTTACCAGACAGCAAAAGAGCAAACAAGGTGGACACTGATTATATTGAACAAAGATATTACATGTAGGCTAGCACGTGGCCTATAAACCATGCCTTCTACTGGATATACTATATGAGAAAGCATATCTACATACCTCCTGTAATAGCAAAGCAACCATACATTCAAACTGTTACGATGAGTGACACCTTACGTAGGCTAAACGGCAAACAATAAGGCAGTTTGGAGAGCTACCCCAGCTATCCATGTACTTATACAACTTCACTCCAATCTTCAAAATCTGCAGCATAGAAAATAAAGGCGCAACAAGAGATGAGGTTCTTAATGACTCCAAATCGAATGGACAATTAGTAACGCGGACGCATTTTCCTACGGTAAAAACATGATAACATATCCTGGATTTGATTCAGAAAATTTCAGTACTGAGCTATATACGGTGGTCACATACATTACTAGATACGGTGGTCACATACATTACTAGTTCTTTTCAAGACTGCCAACTGAAGTCGGCAAGGGGCTCTTTGTTTCTCCCTCCATGAAAAAAAGAAGTCATCAAGTGGGCTTAGCTAACTCTTCCTCTCTCACACAGAAAAGCAAGACGAAAGTGATATATGCAAGAAAACTAAAAATTTCATGATTTATCAACAAATGGATCTTCATTTGGAACATCATCTCTTATTAAGTACATAGCCAGGGGGAAAAAAGACAATTTTTAATGAAATGTGTCAATATTCAAGTACTATAAGCTGTTGAATTTCACAATTATAGTAAAAAAAGTTAGATTTATTTTACATTACTACGCCTACTAGTCAGTTTAGAGGAAAAGGCTTTAAATTTCCACCAAAAAGTCTAAAATTCATAAATTTTACATCAAACGAACAACTTTAGGGCAAGTTACGAAGCAGTTAGGGAGCCCGATCACCACCTCTCCAAGTGGTGGCGGAAGATCCTAACCTTCTATGGCGGAGACGCGGTCGCTGGAGATAGAAGAGGCCATGTCCACCTGAATTGCGATGTGGTCAGATCATCAGAGAGCGATCTGAGGCTCGTGAAAGCGAAATTGATGGGGCGGAAAAACCCTAATCTCGAGATATTTGTGGTGGCATTTTGTCTCGATTCTTCTCAGGGGTTAGTTTTGGAGACTGTGCACTGGGGACGCGTGGAGCCAGACCTCGACTTGTTGCTATTTGAAAGGTTTTTTTCTCGACTCTAGTCCCCCATTTTCGAAATCAGTCACCCAATTTAATATTTTCTAGTCAGTCCCCCAAAAATCTGTAAATTTAAGTCCCCACCAAATCTTTATATTTTAAATATTTGAAATTAGTCCTTTCAGTTAGCAACTCGCTGCAGATTTGAGAGAATAATTTGAAAACACTCAAAATAATTTTCTGACTAATTTCAGATAGAAATATGCGTACGCTTGATACAAAAGATAAATTAATACTTAATAGTTAGATGGATGTATCTCAACCCCACATCTAAAATTCTAAAGCATAAAGAGCACATGCATCATACTTTTCATCCAACTAATTTCACCCACATTTATGGTTAAGATTCCTTTATCTCACTACCAACTTTGTACCTAGCATACCCATATTCCTCAATTTCAAAATATAAAGATATGGGGGATTAATTTGAGAACACTCAAATTAGCATACAACTATCACATACTATCACAAAGCATATATAAATAGCAATACCTAAAATGCATGACAGGTATTAGTTCCATAAAGTTAATAATAATTTTGTGATATTAAATAAATATATGCATGATAATTAGTAAAACGAAAATGCCAATTAGAACTAAGTTACTTGATGTTGGATGTTGGCAATACTCGAAGGATCAACGAGTTGTGTTGAATTGTAAATAAGTTCTTCCATTGCTTCCAGATCAACCATAAAGTTGATTGTGAAATATTGGATGTTCTCCAATCATGTTAGAAATCAAGAATTATACTGAGCTTCATTAATTTAGTGCTAACATTACACATTCACACATCACTTTATCTCGATGTCATATTATCTACAAAAACACGCTTCCGATACTATGGCTAGCAAAAATCCCCACCGAAATCATCACAGGCCTCACCAGGAAACACCCTATATCGTGAATATTCAAAGAATTTGCGAGTCACATTTTCTTTTTCTTTAATTAAATTTTTGTGTTAGCTAGTATCTTACGTTTTCGTGTCGTTATACTCCACATGTTCTGCTATCATAGCATGTTTCATGTACAAACCTCCATTTCTATGAAACTGTAATCAAAGCCTATTACCCCTTCAGCCTACAGCTCCAGATTCATCATACTATACGATTTAATACTTAATCCAAGCCTACTACCCCTTCAGCCTACAGCTCCAGATTCATCATACTATACGATTTAATCGCTAATCCAAGCCTACTACCCCTTCAGCCTACAGCTCCAGGTTCGTCACACTATATGATTTAATCCCTAATCCAAGCCTACTACCCCTTCAAGCTACAGCTCCAGGTTCATCACACTATATGATTTAGGGAACCTAAGAGTTTGCTAATTATAGGTCCGCTACTGTCCCTTAAAAAAGAAACCATTTCATTGGAGTCGAGGTACTCATTCCCTTTCTTTAGGGACAACAGGAATGACGGGAAACCATCCAATAAAACCATGAGCTTGAATTGGAAGATTGTAACTTTAACTTTCGACCCAACATGGATCCGCCAAATGGCCAGTCTCAGTTTCAAGAGGGATACCGACCAACATATATAACAACATGAAATTAACTAAAGGTTTAATCTTACACAGAACGTCTCCTTTATAAAAGAAGAAGGGAAGATGATAAGTCAGGCCTTGTAAACACAGGGATTAGAGTTGCTACACAGCAAAAGAACAAACAAGGTGGACGTTTGATTATATTGAACAAAGATGTTTACATGGGTATATGGGTCAGCAAGTGGCATATAAATCCTACCCTTCACCTAGATATGGGGGGGGGGGGGAGCATCCTTACATACATACATGCTATGATAGCAGAACCAGTGTACATCCAAACTGTTAAGATGAATGGCACCTTGCCAAGGCTAAAGAGCAAGCCAAAAGGAAGCTTGGAGAGCTCGCCAAGCTTTTCATGTACATATATCATGTAGTCAAATCTCCAAAATCTGCATTATAAAAAATGGAGATGCAAGTATACAACAAGAGCTAATGGCAAGCAATTTTCCTATCTACAAATAGAAGCTAGATTGTTTAGAAACTGAATGCACAAGTTTTATGATGAACTACTTTTAATGTCTTTAATATTTCTTTTACAGAATCATCTTGTGGCTCCTCACACAGCTATCATTTTCTTTATAATGTGTACCTAAGCCCTATCACCTAATATGCAAGTATTCCGACAAATATCCTTAGTGATATCCAAAATTTTTACATATATTCCTTCAAATGGGAATTTCTATTAGAATACTTTCTTTGGAGCTTGTTAGAATACAATTCTACTTCACCAACCCAACAGCTAAGAAGACCAGTTCATACTCAATGATCATCCTCTCTTCAATCAACACCCATGTGACGCGCAATCCAAATCCATTCACTCACCTTATCTATATTCAATGAAATTAGCGTTTCGGCATGATTAACATCGAATGCCCCACAACCATCACCAAAAGTACGATGATTAACATGGCCAACCAATCACATATCGACACAGTAACTTTACAACTGGCCTTCCAAAATCAACAGTGAAAAAGAACTGTTTTTTCTATCTTATATATAAGACTCTCTACAAAGAAACCCAAGATATACTCCACGTTCTACATGCTCTCTTCAAGTCGTCCAACTGAGATTACTATGCGTAAGATGTCTTTGGCCAGGGCCAAGCCTCAGCCCTCCTAACATTCTTGTTTGAATACACACTGTCCAATCATAAGAATAGCAGTTTCCTACCATCAAGAAGCCAACTTCCCAACAAAGCATCTCGTTCCCAACATCATTATCATCATCACCATCATTAACTCATTCAAGTTTTGTTCTTGGATTTTGCCACATAGGTATATAGAAATACTTTAGTTCTTGTAGTATCATAGATAACATGATCCCATTTACATAGAGCTGGGAGAGTTTACGAATCAAAGTAACGCTTTCAAAAGCTCTCTCATATGCATGTTTACTTGAATCCCTTCACTACAAATGTCCTAAATGCTCGAAGTAAGAAGCATGAACCATTCAAGCTCTACTTTAATCCTTTCACTTAACCCAACACTTGGGTATAATTCCCCAATATCAGAAAATAAGCTCCATCTTAATTAGAAAACTCCAGAATGAAAACAAGTTGCCTTTATTAGGGTACTCTGGCTCAGCTTGCATGAAACCTACATTAAAAAAAATTCCTATTTTGGATTATTCAACTAATTCTAAACATCTAAATCCCGGAACACCATAACCCTGCAAGCCTTAGTAAAGGAATAGATGGCCTAACAAACAGTCACTTGAAAGGCATATTAAACTCCCAGTAAATAAATTCCATGATTATACAAGTATGAGCTAATTCAATAGTCTTCTTCAAGCACGTGCGATATGCCAACCACCATATAGTAATTTCATCCAACCACCTATGCTTATTTTATCACCATATGGTCAACGCACGGAAACCTATACCATATCCTAATCCAATATCCTCTAAGCAAGCTCTACCACTGATGAAAACTCAAAAAGCCATAACAAATTCAAACTATGAATGAGAGATCCAACCACTTGTATCAAATATAAAATTTAGGTGGATTTAGTTCTGGATGAACACGAAATCTTGATCCTCCATGAGTTTAAATAGTATATTTCTAAATTTCTACGTAGCCCTCATATCAGTAACAACTCTATCCAAAACACTTCAACATCTTGTGTGTCCAATATGAGAATTGTTAATACAAGAAATAAAGTGGGTTATCATGTACCGATATGGCAAGATCCAAGCAACAGAACTTGAATGAGTTTATGACGACAACGATGATGATGATGTTGGTGCTTCAGGGAACGTGATGTTTTGTAGAAAGTCAGCCTCTTACAAGGTTAGTGATTGTAGTTCCAATGTTGTTCCAAACTTCTAATGACCAAACAACTTGCTCTCTAAAACAAATGTTACAAGGGTTGGGACTTAGTCCTGACTATAAGTCTCCGGCTCTCAAGTTAGTGCTTTCTAGACAACAAATCCCAATTATAAGCATTAAATATAGAAGATTCTGAGTATGCAGAGCACATTTAAGGTTTATTTAGAGAAAATCTTCTATATCATGTGCGAAAGTAGTTGTTTTCCATCCTTAATGGTACAGGCTTAGCTATAGGTGACAGTCGTGGGCCAGTGATTGGTTAACTCTGCCAATCACCACATTTTCGACAGTAATAATAGAGCACTTGGTACTAACCATGCTGAGATGTTAATCACATTGATGTATAGATATCATGGATGATTTGGACTGTAGTGCCACATAGACGTTAATTTGAGAGAGACTGAGCATTAAATATCACATCTTGGGCTTTCTTAGCAGATGGGCTGGGGCAGTAAGATTGTTTCAGACAACTTACTCAAAACAATTATACCATCCTTTTACCACTTCCACAAACTCCCACTTGCATTATAATATCATGCACTAAACGCTTAAAAAAGAAAACAAGGATCCCAAGAAGCTAACAATTGCTTTCATGTCATCTAATTAGCAACTCTACATAGGTTCTTTGATCATGCCTAGTCCTAAAAGAATGTCGTGCCTAAACAGTGAAACTATTTCTATGGATCCCTAATCCAAGTCTATTACCCCTTCTGGCTACACCTCCAGTGTCATATTGTCTATGGTTTTGGAAATGCGAGACTTTGATTTCCCATAAAATAATCCCTATGTGACAAATAAAGACAACACACTTCTTCTCATAGGTAGCACTGCTAATTAAAGGTCCGTGTTTTTTTTTCGGTCAATGAACTTTTTTTTATTCATTCACCAATATGAGAAATTATGTACATCAAGAATCTATTAAAGGTCCATGTTGCTGCTCTCTTATATAAGAAACCATTTTGTTATAGTAAAGAAACCCAACTCCTTTCTTTAGAGACAAACAAGAATGATAGAAAACCACCGTGTAGACCAGTGAGGTTTAGTTCAGCTTTAGTTGAAAGATTTTAATTTCGACTAACTTGGGAATCCATTAAAAGAATCCGTCTCAGATTCAAGAAGGAAACCAACCAATCTGTATAACACCATAAAGTTAAATAAGCATATTTTCTTGCACAGATTTCTCTAGTATGAGCTAAGAAAGAGACAGAAAAAGACAAGATGACAAGTTAGAACTTGAAAACACCAGGACCAAAGTTACTAGATAGAGAAAGAGAAAACAAGGTGGATGCTGATTATATTGAACAAAGATATGTCGATAGGTATAAATCATAACAAGTGGGATATAAACCCTGCCCTGATGCTGGAAAATGTAAGAAAAAAGCCATCTCTACATACCTACTATGATAACAGAACCAGTGCACATCCAAACTGTTAAGATGAATGGCACCTTACCCAGGTTAAACGGCAAATCATGAGGCAATTTGGAGAGCTTGTCCAGCTTTCCATGCATATGTAGTATTTTAGTCCAATCTTCAAATCCTGCATCATAGAAAATAGAGGTGCGACAAAAGCTGAGTTTCCCAATGACGTACAATTTTCCTATCTACAAACAGAAGCTTAATTGTTTTGAAATTGAATGAGCAAATTAATACTGATCTGCAGTAACAACAGCGCATTTTCTGCCATAAGAATGTGACCACATCTCCTGGATTTGATTCAGAAATTTTCAGTATGGACTTATAAATGGTGGTCACTTTCAGTAATACTGTAATAGTTCTTCTCAAGGCTCCCTACTGAAGTAGGCAAGGGGCTCTTCATTTCGCCCTCCAAGAAAAGGAAATCTCGCTTGTGGCTTTGCTAACACTTTCTCCAAGAGAAAAACCTCGTCAACCCTTATCTTATGACCAGCTGTATTCCTGAATGAAACAAGACGAAAGTGACCTATGAAGCAAGAACATGTTTTCAGAAGAGCATTAACAAAGAAAACAGAAAATTTCATGTTTTATCAACATTTAGGTGAATGATATCTATTCTGAGTGTATAAAGATTGGTGTACCATGCAAGACTTGGCATTAGAATAACCTCTTCTCTGGATGCATCACTCATCCAAATGGATCATTTATTAAGTATATCAGCCTCTTATTAAATACATATATGCAAGGAAGAACAAAGAAATTTTATATGAAATGTGCACATACTCAAGTACCATAATTTGTCAAATTTCACAATTTTAGTTAGAAAATTAGGATTTGTTACATTAATATACCTACTTGTCAGTTTAGGGAAAAGAAGTTACATCAGATATCTATTTCACCAAATTAACGAAGAAAAGAAGGGAATTCCCTTCAATGTAGTCAAAATTGACTGGAAAAAATAAAATAAAATTCATAAATTTATCTTGCTACACTATTTTCTCCTCTTTTTTCCATCGATGCTATTTTATCTTCTAGCGCCCTCTCTCCATATACACAACTAAACTAATATAGAGAACTTTTGCTAACAAGTCCCCCCATATGAGAATTTTTGCATAAAATCCAACATGAACATAACTAAGGGTTTATTACGTAAAAAAAGTATTGTCATATCTTTGTTAATAAATTACTAGATAAGAAGTTCAACAACAAAAAAATGGATACCTTGTGGAACTTTGCTACTTTCTCTCAACATATTGACTATTCAAGTCATACTAAAACAAGCAAATTGCCATTTATCCAAAAAAAATCAATAGATCTTTTTAGGAGTTTCATCATGTGGAAAATTATGTAAAAAAAATTAAATATTTTCCTTTTTCCCTTCCAAATCAATTTCGAATCTATGTCCAGTTCATCACAATCTCAAATCATTCTTTTTATTACACTCATTAAAAAAAAGAATGTTTTTTCCCATAAGTAACTCAAATTGATTGCTTTTATATTGGAATTCTTATATATCTTTCTTTTATTTTTTTTGGAGGAAAAAACATGTGGTAAGGGTGTTGCTTAATTTTAGCAATTTGCTAAAAATGTATTATTGTTAATTGGAGTTCATAAAAAATGAAAGCATGAGCTTATTAAAACATCAACTAGATAATTACAAAATACAAACAAGTAAAACAATATATTTACTACATAGCTTTTCCCAATAAAAAATGCATGGGCACATAAGCAAATTGTCCAACTTGAATTGAATACTACATGAAAAGCTCTATTATAGAGTTCTATTGTCGTATTTTTCTGATTTTTATTTTATATCACATCACCTACTTCAATTATAATATTCTCAAAAAAATAAACTCTTGAAACTTATGAATCAAGATTGCTTATCAATTTAGTCACTAAATAATTAACTTAGGATGCATTTTCTACATATCATAAGATAGTTAACATGTACGACTAAGGTACATGATATTTCGATAACAATTTAATGACTTGTTACACGTGCATTTGCACATGCCAACATGCTAGAGTTTATAAAGAACCTCAGAGATTACAAAATTTTTACGCATACTGTACTCGAATCAGGAATCACTTTTAGAACATTTTCATCTTTTGAGATTGTTAGGATACAACCCTATCGCCCAAGCCCAATCACTACGAAAACCCAAGGCCTGATTCTCGGTGATTGTCCTTCCCTCAATCAGCGCCTACATGACACTACAGTCCAAATCAATTACCTCATTGTATCTATATATCAGCATGTTTAGTGTCTGAGCATGGTTAGCGTTGAGTGCTACAAAGTTATTGTTAGAAGGGTAGTGATTAACATAGAAAACCAATCACATATCGGTAACTGTAACTTTCCAGCTCGCCTTGTAACATCAATCATGAAAAATAACCGCTTTTCTACCTTATACATTAGACTCTGTACAAAGAAACCTAAGCTATGTTCCCCATCCCACATTTTCCCTTCAAGTCTTTCAATTGAGATTTACACTTTTAAAATATTGACTTAAAGCGTCAGAGGGCGGGATCAATCCTCCTAAAGCTCCTATTTGAATGCGAGCTTCCAATCATAAGAACAACATTTGCCTAACCATCAACAAACTGACGTTCCAAACAAAACATCTCATCTACTACATTATTATCATCATCATCATGACGTTCCCAACAAAACATCTCATTTACTACATCATTATCATCATCACCATCAACATTAACTCATCCAAGTTTTATTGTTGAGCCTTGCCACGTAGGTGTGCGGTAAGCCCCTTTATTCTTGTACTAACATGATAAAACCATACCACTTGCATGGAGCTGGAATAGTTTATGAATCAAAGCAATGTTGTTGAAAGCTCTTACACATGCACATTTACTTGAATCCTTTCACTACAATGTATGATTGCTTTCCGTAGCTATTACATATGCACATTTATTTGAATCTTTTCAATACAAAGGTCTGATTGCTTTCAATAGCTATCAAATATGCACATTTATTTGAATCCTTTTCACTACAAAGGTCCTAAATCCTTGAATTAACATCCTACTATTAACCTCTGCATCAATCTTTTAACTTCACCCGCACTCAGTTCGATATAATCCTCTAATATCAGAAAATAAGCTCCATCTTAATGAGAGTACTCTAGAAGATCCTTTAATAGGATTTTCTAGCTTTGGTTTACATTAAACCGCATCCGAAACATTTGCTTCTGTTTTGGGTTATTCCGCTAATTCTAAATGTCAGAAGTTTGAAACACATAATCCTGAAAGTATAATAAAGGAACAGATGGGCTAACAGACAATCACTTGAAAAGTTTGAAGAAATAGCCTTCTTCTTCAAGCGGATATGCGGCATGCAAACCACCATACATTAATCTTATTTTGGCCAACTTATAGTAATATTATCACCATATGGTAATCTCACCTAAATGACCATATACTCTTATCCCAATCTGAATTATGATGTCCTCCAGGCAAATGCTACCATTTATAATCAAATGATCATCTTGCGAAAAGCCAAAACAGATCCAAAGTAGAAATGAGAGATCTACCCATTGAGCTCACTTTTAAGATGAATAGCTAGAAATCTTGACCATCTTAGTTTGAATACTATTTTTCTTAACTTCTACTTACCCTCCTACCTAAAAACAACTCTTATCCAAATCAGTCTGACCCACATCTTTCCTTAATTGTTAATATAAGAAATAGAGGGGTTGTCACGTACTTATTTGACAAGATTCAAATAATAGAACTTGGATGAGTTGATGACAATGATAATAGTGTAGAGAAGAACGTCAGCCTCTTGAAGGGTAAGTGCTTCTTTTTCCAATAATCAAACCATCTGCGGTAACATACAGAGCGTTATGAGGGTTAGGGCTAAAATCTCACCAAAAAAACGTCGAACTATCAAGTAGTGCTAATCTCTATTGAAAGATTTGAACATAGAAGATGAATATGAAATCTCTAAGAGCAAATTTTTTGGAGAGTATTATATATGAGGCTGGTATATGAGGCTGGAAAGTAGTTGCTTTCCATGCTTGATGCTACAAGGCTAGCTGTAGAGTGACAACTATCGACCTTTGATTGGTTTACTTTGCTAATTGCTGCATTTTTAGTAGTGATGGTAGTGCACTCAGAGCTAACCGTGTCATGACACTAATAATGTTGATGTGTAAATACAATTGGTGTCTCGATTTGGACTATAGCACCACATAGACGCTGAATGAAGAGAGGTTACACATCAAATATTCGATCTTGGACTTTCTTAATAGATGGCTTTGAAGAGTAAGTTTATATCCAAACAACTCAACATAGACTCCCACTTACATAGCTCCTCAAAACTATAAACTTAATCCTTTTACCACTCACACAAACTCCCACTTACATAATTCCATCATGCTCTTCAGTGCTCGAAAAAGAAACATGGATCACAGACGTTACTTTTATGTTATCTAATTAACAACTCTACATAGCCTCTTCAATCATGTCATTTCTATATAGTCCCAACTCCAAGCATATTGCTTCTTCAGGGGCACCCATCATACTCTACATCAGTGTGTAGTAACTTCTTGCTAACCTAGTTAAAGCCTTAATTAGGTTTCTGATACAGGTGGGTGGAAACAATCCTAATTTGGTTAAGAGCTATACTTTGAGCTAATAAAATCAGGTTCAATCTAGCTCAGTTTTTTCCAAACCAAGCCTATGGTTTAAAAAACTTGACATGCTTTGACTTCCGACAGAATAATCCCCACGTGACCAACAAAGGACAAAAAATAACTTGTTCTCATAGTTGCTACTGCTAATTAGAGGTCCATGGTGGTATCCATTTCATCATAGTCAAGGCACTCAATTCCTTTCTCTAGAGACAAGAGGAACGATAGCACACCACCAGTGAAGAAGTGAGCTAGGGTTGGAAGATTCCAATTTCAACCCAACCAAGAATCCACAAAAAGGTCAGTCTCAGATTCAAGAGGGAAACCAACTGCAATACTATGAAATTAACTAAACATTTATTCTTCAACAGAATTTGTCCTGTATAAGCAAAGAAAATAACACGTCAGGCCATTTAAACACAGAGATTAGAGTCATTCGATAGCGAAAGAGAAAACAAGGCGGACATTGATTATATTGAACAAATATATTTACAGGTAGGGTAGCAAGTGGCATATAAACCCTTCCCTCTGCTCGAAATACAACACGAGAAGCATATTTACATACCTGCAGTAATAGCAAAACCAGTTTACACCCAAACTGTTAGGATGAATGGCGCCTTACCCAGGCTAAACAGCAAACCAGAAGGATATTTGGAAAGCTTATCCAGCTTCGATGTACATATACTATTTTACTCAAATTTACTCAAATCTTCAAAACATGCATTACAGAAAATAGAGGCGAAAAAAGAGCTGGGTTTCTTAACGTCATACAATTTTCCTATCTACAGACAGAAGCTTAATCGTTTCTAAATTGGATGAGCACTAGTACTGATTTATAGTAGGACAAATTTTCAAAACAATCCTCTTTGGACTTTTATTCTCAAAAAAAGACATGTTTTGAACTTATTTTCAAAAACCGACCTGGTTTCAGCTCTGGCGCTGACTCTGGTGCTGGTGCTGAAACCAGGTCGGTTTTTGAAAATGTTTTTTCGTAACTTCACAGGAGTTCAACTCCCGTGAAATTTAGCAGATTTTTAACTAACTGCTAAAACTTCACGAGAGTTGAACTCCAACTCCCGTGAAGTTTTATTGCTTAAAACAAAATTCATGGGAGTCCAATTCCCGTGATTCATGGGAGTTCAACTCCCGTGAAGTTTGTTACACTGCAAAAACTCCACGGGAGGAGTTCAACTCCCGTGAAGTTTCAGTCAAATTTTCCAGAGAATCGCTCTCTGGAAAATTAACCCTGTAACTCCACGGGAGTTCAACGGGCGTGGAGTTGTAGGTTTTACAAAACATGCACAGCAGCATGTGCATGTTCTGTATATACGTAACGTAACTCATATACGTTATATTTACTTGTTAACAATAATTGATCTCATATACACTGAATTACAACAATATATATATATAATTCAACAACAATATATAAATATATATATATAATTCAACCATGAATTAAACACGAATCAAACAATACTCACAAAAAGTACATATATAAACAATAATTGATCCACAAAAGTATAGTATTTGAAAATTCATAAAAGTTATAAATTTTAACAAAATAAACTCACATACAACCCAAAATAGCTCCTCCCCCCTTCCCCGCCCCCCGCGTTCCTGTTGATGAGCCTCGGTTATCTGAGTATCCGGTTGTGTATGAGGCTGAGAAGCATCGGCTCCATCAGCATGCTAAGTGTCAGCTCCATCAGCATGCGAAGTGTCGGCTTCATCGTCATGTCGTCATCACGTGTACGCTTGCCCAAATGATCGAGCCCTGTCCTCACGGCCTGCAAACCCGTCGACGTGAGTCTTATGAAACACCTGTGTTATTGTCTTCTTGATCCTGCCGAAGACCCCTAACGCCACCGAATCCTGAATCTAAGGCATGTGTGCATCAATATCAACTTCAATGCTATCAAAAGCATGGACCTGCGAGGTAAACAATTTATTAAGTACCATCTCAATAAAAAAATGTTATAATTTAACTTAAAAACTTACATAATATCTCTCGATCATCCCACTAGGGATGTAACTTTCTGTCGGTGGGCGTGGCATGTGTCCAGCTGATGGCTGTGGGTCACGCATGATCCATCTACGTGTGATATCCCAATACCAACGCATATACGCGGTATAGTTAACTGTCTCTTGTATCCTGTATGAAATCCCACCTGTCTATGTAAGCCGCACAGACTATAGCCCAGTTGGTACGGTGTAGGTCGTCGTTTGATCTGCTCGACAGGCTCTGACACATGCTGAGAGAGCATAACTTACCGTAGCACACGGTCGGGGACGTGCATCTCCACAATCTCCTAACATATCATCGGAACTCCGGCTCTCCACAAGTCGGGACTATCTCGACAGATAGGTGCAAGAGTATGCATATCGAGCTCCGGCGATGAATAAGGTCTCCACTTGAACTGAAATAAGATAAAACATTTATCAGTATCAACAACAAAACTATAAAATTCATAACGAATCGAGTTTTATATTTACCTGTTCGTGTTGGAGGCCATCAAGCTCATTTCGGTAAAACTCACGATGTCGCGTCGCTGATTTGTAGTTAGCGTACCGCACGTTATACCTATTTGGTATAAAGAAATTATGAGTTCAAATTCAGTTGAATAAAATATTGTGGACAATTATACCTATATGTCAAAGGAAACTGTCCCTGTAAGTCGCGATGCATAAGCAAAGTCGGTCTGCTAATATGAATGCGCTTACATGACCAAATCTGGATCAACGTACAGCATCCCTTAAATTCTTTATTTTATATTAAGGATACTCTACCCAGTTTTCTATACAAGTATGCCAACACCACACTACCCCACATGATAGTGCGCCGCATACACCAAAATCCTCTAGCAATGGCAGACATCGTGCGTGTACAAGAGTCTTGCTCGCATCAGGAAATAGCATGCACCTTATCATGTGCAATATGTACGCACGAGCATGAAACTGAAGCGTCTCAATGGAGGCATCTGCTGGTATAGCTCCCTGAAATGTCTGATGAAGCCACGATAGCTTCATCGCACCACTTCTCAAGTCGAGAACCTGACCAAGAAGCCTAGCACATACCTCAGCCCAATTATGATCATCGGTGCCCGTAACTATCGGGCCATCGATGCGTAGTCCAAGTATGATGGCTACGTCCTATAAGGTGATGGTACACTCCCCTATATGCATGTGAAAGGTGTTGGTCTCTGACATCCACCTCTCAATCAGTATAGTGATAAGCGGCCAATCAAGCCTAATATATCGCACTATCGAACACTCCCGGAACCCGACCTGAGCTATCAGTTGTAGGTCATTGAGGATGAGAGAGTACTATAGCTGATAGCTCAGGCCGGGTTCCGGGAGTGTTCGACAGTGCGATTAATAGGCTTGATTGGCCGCTTATCACTATACTGATTGAGAGGTGGAGGTCATAGACCAACACCTTTCACATGCATATAGGGGAGTGTACCATCACCTTACAGGACGTAGCCGTCATACTTGGACTACGCATCGATGGCCCGAAAGTTACGGGCACCGATGATCATAATTAGGCTGAGGTATGTGCTAGGCTTCTTGGTCAGGTTCCCGACTTGAGAAGTGGTGCGAGGAAGCTATCGTGGCTTCATCAGACATTTTAGGGAGCTATACCAGCAGATGCCTCCATTGAGACGCTTCAGTTTCATGCTCGTGCGTACATATTGCACATGATAAGGTGCATGCTATTTCCTGATGCGAGCAAGACTCTTGTACACGCACGATGTCTGCCATTGCTGGAGGATTTTGGTGTATGCGGCGCACTATCGTGTGGGGTAGTACGGTGTTAGCATACTTGTATAGAGCCTTAATGCAGAATAAAGAATTCAAGGGATGTTGCACGTTGATCCAGATTTGGTCATGTAAGCACATTCATATTGGCAGACCGACTTTGCTTGTGCATCACGACTTACAGGGACAGTTTTCTTTGACATATAGGTATAATTATCCACACAATTTTATTCAACTGAATTTGAACTCATAATTTCTTTATACCAAATAGGTATAACGTGCGTTACGCTAACTACAAATCAGCGACGCAACATCGTGAGTTTTATCGAAATGAGCTTGATGGCCTCCAACACGAACAGGTAAATATAAAACTCGATTCGTTATGAATTTTATAGTTTTGTTGTTGATAGTGATAAATATTTTATCTTATTTCAGTTCAAGTGGAGACCTTATTCATCGTCAGAGCTCGATATGCATACTCTTGCATCTATCTGTCGAGATAGTCCCGACTTGTGGAGAGCCGGAGTTCCGATGATATGTTATGAGATTGTGGAGATGCATGTCCCCGACCGTGTGCTACGGTAATTTCTGTTCTCTCAGCATGTGTCAGAGCCTGTCGAGCAGATCGATCGTCGACGACGACCTACACCGTATCGATTGGGCTGTAGTCCATGCGACCTACATAGACAGGTAGGCTCACAGGTGGGATTTCATACAGGATACAAGAGACACAGTTGACTATATCGTGTATATGCGTTGGTATTGGGATATCACACGTAGATGGATCACGCGTGACCCACAACCATCAGCTGGACACATGTCACGCCCACCGATAGACAGTTACATTCCTAGTGGGATGATCGAGAGATATTATGTAAATTTTAAGCTAAATTATAACATTTTTTTATTGAGATGATACTTAATAAATTATTTACCTCGCAGGTCCGTGCTTTTGATAGCATTGAAGTTGGTATTGATGCACACATGCCTGAGATTCAGGATTCGGTGGCGTTAGGAGTCTTCGACAGGATCAAGAAGACAATAACACAGGTGTTTCATAAGACTCACGTCGACGGGTTTGCAGGCCGTGAGGACAGGCTCGATCATTTGGCCAAACGTACACGTGACGACGACGACGACATGA